TACTTTGCCGACTTCCCTTACCTACTCTATCGACCAGAGGAGGCCATCCTGAATAGAACTGAAACCGAAACAGATATGCAACTGGCTAGGAGGCCCTCCCAGCAGAGCTCTGAATTGTCTTGCAGTTGCAGCGCATTCCATGATGCTCAGCTAGGGAGTCGGAGCTTCAGCTGGGCAACAAGCTTCCGCAGAATCAAGTGGATATCGATCAGTGACGGCCGTTTCGGCATGTTCAACCAAGTGTCTGTCATTGCTCCCTTGAGCCCGAAACGAGGTCACCGGTACTGCAGCCGCAGCCACGACAAAAAACACATCAGGTGCTGTCGCCATCAAGCGGCTCTAATAATCCCACGTGGCCCAGCACCTGAACCGGATCCTGCCAGGATTTGCACGCACAACGGGTTCGGCCACGGTGACGATTAAAGTCTGAACTTCCCACAAACCTTAAGGGGGAGATTGAGAGATGAACTCAGATGAAAGTTTCATTGCCATCTGCCAAAACCTGGCTGTGTCGATGTCGAGGGCATGTTTGGGTGGGTTGAGGGAACTCAGGGGCTGCGAAGTCCTCGCACTCTTGGAAGCCCATAACCTGAGCTCTCCACACGCAGGCTTCCTTCCAACAACGCTCCAACATGTAACCTAAGGTTGACTTGTACCGTGTTGCGTGTAAACAAGACTCGAAACCAGCACATGGCCGGTGGTAGCTGTGTATGCAAGGCACCAATTCAATCAATCGATTTCCACCCCAGCAGGCTAATCATGTAGCCAAGCTGCATCATACGGCGGAGTGCTAGTGTCCTGGATCAGGTGTCCAGCACTGTCACCTCGTCCGTGTTCCACCTCACGGGAGCATGGCCCAAGCTCGGTATCTTCTGAAACGGCGACCATCTGAACACTTCTTACGTGTGACAACTTGACTGTGATTGAAGAGGTTCTGTGAACAGACGGGATGGGCCTTGAACAAATGCCACCAGAAGAGGTTGTAGGACAACACCTGACGTGGCACTTCGATTCTGCGAACGTGGCCCATCCGCAAGCTGCTACCTGATTTGTTTGGCCGTGTCCGCGGACCGCGAGCCTGACCTCTAAAGCCTGAAACCAAACGCTGGTCAATCCTCAGCCCTACTGTAAACCCCAACCAGGAGACTTTGGTTGGCAAATCCTTACTCCTGAAAGAAGATTAAAATAGATGGTGGTTGGCAAGCCCTCAACCATGATCTTTAACTCTGGACTCTGGACTACCTCATACCCCTCTTCCACTGCCATAGGCGCCTGAAACTGACCCTGCGACCTGTCAAGCAAGACGGCGGCAACCGTTGCAGTACCAACGGCCGAATCACCCAAAAGCAGCAGCAGCAGCAGCGGTATGAGGACTTGAGCCCCAGCCCCAGATCTTCACCGTGTATGGTGTATGTGAGCATACTTGGGTTTGAACCAGGGTCAGGTATCGTGGCAATCGACTGTGTCGAGGGATAGCTAACATCTGCCATCACCTCCCCCAAAACCGCCTCACACAAGCTGATTAAAATCAAAGCAGATGCTGGTCCTTAACCCGAAGCACGGAAAAGGGTGACATTGGTTAGCAAACCTCCTTAACCCACATAGAAAAACGTTGAAGCAATGTTGGTTGCAAACGCTTGGGCCTAAACGTTGGTTGGTTGAAAATCCGGAGTGGGAGAAATATTGGTTGGCAACCCCTATGAACCCTAAGAGCCCAAAGCCATAAAGGAAGATGTTCATAATTCATAAGCTTTCGCTGGCATCCCGCAAAAGCCCCAAAAAACGATGCTGAGAGGGAAAGAGGATGAAAGGGAGGTACTTTGGTCAGCGAAACCTATAAATCTAAAGCAATATGTTGAGGAGATGTTGCTTGGATTTGGTCGGCAGACCCCAAGCCCGAAAGGAGATGTTGGTCCCGAACGCCAAACCGGAAACCCAAAGAGGAGATGATGGTTGGCAAACCCTCAATGATTCAACCTAAACGGAAGATGTTGAGACCTGTTGGTTGGAAAACCCTAGACCCTGGAAGGGGGTGTTGGTCATTTACCCTAGCCTTCAAGATGACTCAAGAAGGAAACGTTGGTTGGCAAACCCTTTTCCCTTTAGGAAGTGGGAGATGTTGGTGCCTAGCCCGAAGCCCCAAAACCGAGGCGCGGACTGATGCAGGATGGGTAGAGTAGGGTAGGTGGGGTTGGGGCAGGGTAGGACACAGGGTGGGGTGAGGCAGGCCAGGGTAGGATAGGGTATGAGAAGGGCGACCAAACAGGCTCGTACTGCGACAGGACTCTACCACCTCCACAGCTCGCGCGAGGGTAGGCTGGGGGTAGGGCAGGCTGGCATGGGCATAGCCAAGCCCATGGCACCCAGCCCTGCCATACGCCCAGGACCCGTGCACTGACGCAGCAGCAACGAGGGTGTGGGCATGGCGGATCCCCTGATCATGTCGCACCATGCCACCATGCCATGCCATGCCATGCCATGCAGGGCAAGGCAGGGCACAGCAGGGGAGGGCGGCTGCCACGATGACTATCTTAGTGTACTTGGTGAAGTGCAACAGTGGTGTTGGTGCTCGATGCGGGGTCGTTTGTGCAAGAAGCTTGGTGCTTGAATCATTGAAGCGTTGTTGCGTGAAGCACCCCAGGTTGCAGATGCAGGACACTTTCGGCGAGTTTGGTTGCTTCGACCTGAAGGGAAGATGTTAAGGAGATGTTGGGCGTTGGTTGGTAAACCCTAAACCCTAAAGCAAATCCCAAAGCCGAAACGGATTTGTTGACTACCCTTAACCCTGACAGCTCTACACACGAGAGGGAGACGTTGGTTGGCGGGCCCTCAAGCCCTGAAACGATGAATGCAGACCCTAAGCCCTGAACCCTAGAATAAAATGCTGGCTGGCAAACCCCAAACCCGCAAGAAGCTGGTTGGCAGACTGGAACGACGGCCGCTGGCATACCTACATGATACTATTGTCAGGCTTACATGTTGACCAGATCTGAACAGTCTATTATAGTCTTGTCTATTCAGTGCAGAATCACAATTCGCATTCTGACGGAGTCTACTCAAGGCCCAAAGTTCAAAGCCCTTGCTGCTCTTTACGGCACCACGCCTTTATCTCAAGGCTGGCCCCTGCGGCAGGCTTCCAGAGTCGTGGGGCCGGCACGTAGTTGCACCCGCCCTGAGCAGCAGTGGAAAGCCAGTGGTTCAATTCAATGCACTGACTGACTCAATCAATGTCTGCGAAGACTACTGAAGCCACAGCTCCCTGAATCTGGACGAGTGCCTTGCATAACCAGTAATTTCGCAAAGGTGGCACACGTGAGCTATGTTCTATTTAACTCTTCATGCATCTGTGCTCGGCCTTCAGTCAATGCCCAGCAGAAACAACATTCGTGGCGAAGGCTCGAACTCGAGAACCCACTGCCATGTGCGGAAACGCTTGTATGGACTGGAATGTTTGCAGGGCCTGCAGCCGACACTGGAGACGATAACACCACGTTTTTGAGGGCTGTTGAACACGCATGTTCCTGCGAGTCGACTGCGAGGCTTCGATGCCAGGATGCGGGCGGAGGGACCGAGCAGGGCCGAGGGCACTTCGGGTGCCTGCCAAAGCACAAGGACGTCTCATGTCAGAGCCGCAACGGTGCCCGAAATCTGAAGGGCATTAGCCGAACGCAAAGATCCCTCAAGCTGCTCATCCGAAGTGCCTTAAGAGCTGGGGCACGGCACGTGCTAGGAACATCTAGAAACCCTCTTCCGGACCCTCTTGCTGCCGTGGTACGTAGTGTTGTATGCCACGAACTGCCATTCGGATAATGGGGAGTCCTCCGTCATGCCCGGGTACCAGTCCGGATGCTGCGGCAATCCAACGTTCTTGCCCCACATTATGGCCTGGGCTGCGAACATCATCTCAGTTGCATCTTGAATTCCTGAAGCCAACCAAACCCCATCCACTGGGCAGGAGATCCAGAGATCATCGGACTGAAGTCGTGGTCGCTACCAAGCTTCCTCCCAACAGGCACCGCCGTCTCCTCACGAAACAGTTGGTGCAAGAACGCTGCAGTTGAGCTACGCTGTGCATCGCAGCAACATGCAAACCACGGTCCTGGCTGGATGTCGTGGCAGCCAGTGTCTACCGACGCTACGTCCTTTCCAAGGTCACTCTAAGCCCGCTAAGCCTCTAAGCGCTGGGAAGACGTGGGCGGCACGGCGCCTGGCTGCGCTTCGCGCTGCGGAGGTGGAGGGCCGAGAGGGCGCAGCCTTCCTCCAGGCACTCGTCGTCTGCCTCTCTGCCCCCAAAAGCGCCATAGAGCCGAAAGAAGCCCATCGCACCCCTTCTCCCTTTCCCGCTCGGAGGCGCACCGACAGCTCGCTGAGCGGTGCAGCACGCACGGCAGCCAAGGCCAGAAAAGCTAGGAGTCTGCACAGCATCGCGGATGTTTGGAACCCTTCGGGATCAAACCGGAACCGCCGTTGTCCGGTTCCGAAGCAAGAGACGGGGACAAGCGCTTTTTAGCAGCTAAAGAGGATAAGGGCAAGAATGCGCTTGAGCCGAGGCGTAGCATCACTCTCGCGCACGGCACCTCCCACAAACAGCGACTCATTTCCAATTTGTCCAGCAAATTCCAGCAATACCACTGAAGGCTCAGAGTGGAAGCGCAACTGCCCCAACTCGCTTCCCCTTTCACCCAAGCGTCATAATTGCTCAGCTTTCTGCTCGAATCCTCCGTAGTGTTCAGAGTCTTCGAGAAGCGTAGTGTGTCAACACCGCGTTTATCGGCGAGCTGAAGATCCCAGAAGCAACACTACTGACATCTGCAGAGTATGGCAAGAAACGACGAATTCGCAGTGCCTCCAGAATCTGCCGAGGGTGTGTGCTTGGGCCCAAAGGAGCGATCAGCGCCGCATCGATCTAGGACAAACAACAAGAGAGCAGCGCTCAGTCGAAGTCGGCTGTTGCTGAGGCAGCTGCGACAAAGTCCTCTCCCCTGCTGCCTCAGCCAGTGCCCGATGCAACATGTATGACCCATGATTTGTCAAACTGCCTTCATGGTCCCAGCTGGTGCCGAAACGCGGAATTGCCCGACCAACTCCCCACAAAAGTATATATATATATATGTATATGTATATATGTACACTTAAATATGTATATACACACACATACATACATACATACATACATACATACATCCATGCATCCCTACATCCATAAATCCATACATCCACCCACCCACCCACCCACCCACCCACCCACCCACCCACCCACCCACCCATCCATCCATCCATCCATCCATCCATCCATACGCGTATACATGCATACCCATGCACACACACAAACACAGGCACGATAGACAGTCATAGACATAGACTTATACATTCGTCATATACACCTACATACGTACATGCATACATACATACATACATACATACATAAATTCATACATCCACCCACCCACCCACCCACACACCCAATCATCCATCCATCCATACATATGTGTATACATGCATACCCATGCGCGCACACACACACAAGCACAGACACGAACACATACTCATAGACAGTCATAGACATAGACTTATACATTCTTCATATACAATTACATACATACATAC